ACACACACTTCTTTTCTTACATACACACAGAAACACAATGCATCTCTTACACTCAATGCACACACATACAGACACATACCTTGCATCCCTTATGCATACAAACAGATTCACACAATGCATCCATTACACACAACCAGAAACACATAATACATCCCTTATACACAAATACACACTGCTTCCACTACACACAAACACACTACATCACCTGCACAAACTGGTAACCATATACACTACATACCATAAGCACACATATTAGATCCTCTACAATAACACATAACACATCCCCTACACACTCCACTCCCTGTGAGCCAACTCATGGGTGGGTGGAACTTATGAGTGGGCCTTATGGGCATACTCACCGTCAGGCCCTGGGGCCCAGACCTTGAGCTGTGTAAGGGGCCCCAAAAAAATTGAGCTGCTTCCAATTCTCCCAGAACATTGAATTTTGTGACCACAGTTGCAAACAGCCTCCAGAGATCCTGTTCTACACCAGACCAGTGGAGCCAAACTGCAGCCCATCATCATCCTCATCTGCTTGTAAGTAGGCAATCTAGTATATCATTAGTGACACTAATCTATAATTTACCTCACATTAAAGGGACACTATAGCTTAATGAAGTGGTTCTGGTGTCTATAGCTGGTCCCTGCAGGCTTTTTAATGTAAACACACACTGTGTGCAGCACTGGCGTTAGTTCATATGGCAGATCATATGGGTGGGGCATTGTGATGTGACATGTGGGGGCAGCAAATTTTTATTTTGTCTAGGGCGGCAAAAATCCTTGCAGGGAGGGAGCTGCGTGAGCTGCGCTGGCTCTGCTCCCCAGCACGCAGCTGAATGAGACCGGCGCCGGAATATGACGTCATATTCCGGCGCCAGTCTCATTCAGCAGCGCGCGAGGGCGGGAGGGCACAACACAGGAAGCACCTCTAGTGACCGTCTGAGTGACTGTCACTAGCAGTGTCACTTTGAAGCAATGTAAACACTGCCTTTTGTCTGAAAAGTCAGTGTTTACGTTGAAAAGCCTGTAGGGACATGCTATAGACACCAGTACCACCACATTAAGCTAGTGAGTGTGTGTGCGCCTGCTAGTGAGTGAGCTTGCTTGCATGCGTGTGCCTGCTAGTGAGTGAGCTTGTGTTTTTATGTCAATGAGCTGATGTATATCAGTAAGATTGTTTGTCTATGAGGCTGTGTATCAATGAGCTTGTGTGTGTCACTGAAATGTCAGTGAAATTGCCTGTGTCTGCATGTGCGTATGCTTACTGTATAATTAAATGTTTTACCCTGAAAGGACCAATATTTTATATTAGAAAAAGCAATATATATATATATTACTCAATCATCTGTCCTGGCAAGACATAGCCTTACATATTACACGCGGCAATATATGGCGGAGTGATTTATGGGGCTGGCACAAATTTTTTTTCCAGGGCTGCTTTGTATCCCCAGTCCGGCCCTGTACATACAGTGGTATGGCTGTACTCAGACAACATAGCTGAGCAACATATGAAGTATTATACAGTTGTAGCACACATAAGGTTTGCAAAATATACTGTGCAAACTCACTTTGTGTGTCAAAAAGGCAGAAAAAACACTTATTACCACTACACTTGGTACAAGCTAGCGGAAAAATGATCCCACGCTAAGGATCAAAATATGCCTTTTGAAATACCCTGGGATGTCTTCTTTAAGAAATGGTATGGCTTTATGGGGTATTTGGATTATATAGCCTGGTAAAATACTCTATAATGCGACATGGGCACAGTGTAAAAATTTAAAGTTTGAAAAAAAATGGAATGGCTGTGTCCCAAATGTGCCCCTCCAATGTCCACATATACCTGGCAAAGGTACATACGGAGGTATTGCTGTACTCAGCCGACATAGCTGAGCAACATATGAAGTATTATACAGTGGTAGCACACATAAGGTTTGCAAAATATACTGGGCAAACTCACTTTGTGTGTCAAAAAGGAAGAAAATACACTTATTACCACTACACTTGGTACAAGCTAGCGGAAAAATGATCCCACGCTAAGGTTAAAAATATACCTCTTGAAATACCCTGGGCTGTCTACTTTAAGAAATGGTAGGCCTTTGTGGGGTAGTTTGAATTTAAACCCTGCTAAGATGCTTGGAAATTGCACATAGGCCCAGCGTCAAAATTCAAAGTTCGGTATAAACTGATATGGCTTGGTCTCCTATATGGCACTGTAGCTTCACGAAATAGGGCCAAAGACATTCATTGGGGGTGTCTTTTTACTCAGAAGACTTAGCCGAGCATAATTTGGGGGGTTTGAACTTAGTGGCACATGTGAAATATACAAAATGTCCAGCAAAAATGCAATTCATATGTAAAAACGCACAAAATTATTTTTTATCACATACTTTAGCATATATTGGTGAAAAAATGGGGGCATGTTAAGGCACAATATGCACCTTATGAGATACCCTGGAGTGTCTACTTTTACAAATGGTAGGCCTATGTGGGTTTTTTTTGAACAGTTAAACTGGTATAATACCCCAAATGGAGGCATAGGCTCATTAAATCCGTCTCTCAAAATTCTACCGTGAATACTGAAAAGGACAGGTCTCTTATATAGCACCGTAGCTTCAAAATAATGCCAAAGACATACAATGGGGGTGTCATTTTACTCAGAAGACTTAGCCGAGCATGATTTGGGGGGCTTGAACTAAGTGGCACATGTAAAATATACAAAATGCCCAGCAAAAATGCAATCCATGTGTAAAAAACGCACAAAATTTTTTTTTACCACATACTTTGGCATATATTGGTGAAAAAATGGGGGCATGTTAAGGCACAATATGCACCTTATGAGATACCCTGGAGTGTCTACTTTTACAAATGATAGGCCTTTGTGGGCTTTTTTTAACAGTCAAACTGTTATAATACCCCAAATGGATGCATAGGCTCATTAAATCCGTCTCTCAAATTTCTACT